AATCCAAAGCACCTTGAATGATCATGTCTACCACGACTCATAATCGCAGACATTGACTCATCGACCAGCATGTCTTTAGAAGGGTATCTCCCTGATATGCCTGTACGTACGTTTCTCCAAAGAGAAGACCCGGACGTAAACGAGCGGTGAAGATAACCACGTACCATCTTTTCAGAAGAGGTTGGAGATTGGGCGTGTGTATGTCTTGGCACCGTCTTGCTCCGCGTCAAAGCGGTGTTCTCCGACCAACCACCGGCTCGCGATGTGCTGCTGGCTTCTTATCCTGGATCCCTTTGCCTCTGTGTTGTTCAAAGAGACACCAAGGCATATCCCTGACCAATTGCCAGCTTGACATTGTACGCGTGGAGCAGTCGCGCAAGCTTTCTATGCGACGCGTCGAGTCTAGGGGATTCCCAAAGTCGCCATGCACCCGGCTTATAGCTTGCCGATTATGCCTAGTTTTCTAACCTCATGATCACCTAGACCACATGATCAGACAGTGTACGTTGTGTCTGGCAATCGAGCAGCGAGTATGGGAGGTCGATTCGGGAGGTGAGTGGACGCGTTGTGAGGTCAAAGGTCGTGCCTAACTAAGGTAAACTCGTGAAGATGTGTGGAGCCGCTCAGGCAAGACATATAGGCTTGCATCGGTAGCAATGGCAGTAGGCAGTACGGTTGCTTGAGCGATGTTGTAGACCACGTTCGCGTAGGAGACAGGGGGCGCGTTTGATGTTCCAATGTCATCGATGACTAAGTGGCCTGCGGCTCTATCTCGGCCCGGAAATAACTTCATCTCCGGCGTCCAGATAGTCTTCCATGAAGCCAACTGGACAACACTTTGAGGAAAACACCCCAGGATCAGCGATTAACAACATGAGGGACAGATTCAGATTAATCATAAGTTCAGATATGCATACATTAAAGCAGCCAATGCTTCAGCTGGTCTGCCTCAGAGCTCGTCGTGGCCCTCCGCATTCACCTCACACAACCGCCCATCCTTGGTCTCCACCAACGCCTCACTCCCAACACATCTGCGGCACCAAAGTACGTTCTTTGGATCGGCCCTCCTCTTCACTCCCCTCAACATCCAATACCTTTCGCCCCAGAACGCTTTCTGCCATTCCGGCTCATAGGTATCACCTTCATTGAAGTATGCGCCAGTGTCGGGGCTGAGTTGCCGCAGTGCCTCGGTCTTTCTGCGTGTGATATCTGAATATACATGATCGATGCTGGCCTGAGATACGGCGTCACCAAACGGCGATGCGACAATAAGGTGCGTGAGAGTGTTGCGCCATGCAGGGTTGAGACTGCTTTGAAGAGGGTAGTAAGCTGGCTCGTTCGGTGCACCAATCATGTGGCCGATGAGAAGTGGGTTAGTTACTGGTCCCTATGGGTATGTTAGCCAAGATACAGATGTCAACCAAAGCTGAGGTCCTTTACATTTGGCTCAAAGGCATCATCGGTTGGGCCGATCTTCGAAAATACGATCGCCGTCAGGTGTGGGTTCGCCAGACTCTCAGCACTGAGCAATCTCGACCCATATGCCGAGCCACCATTTGCGACTTGCTCGTTCGTGAAATTGGCTTTGTGCATCTCCAGGTACGTATCCGTGTGCGATAATATCGACTGCCATTCAAAAGCCTGCCTCCGCTCCTGCAGATATGCTTCAATAGGTTCCATGAGTAGCTCAACCGCTCCGCTTGGAGCGTTGTAAAGTAAGAATGTCCAGGAGAATGATAGAGTGGGAACAATAGGCGGACCCACAACCAGGTAATACCCTTGCATGCCGCCTTCTTTCAGCCGCTGCATCTCTGCGTGCAGGAAGCCCAAGAACTGATAGAAACCAGTGCTTCTGCCTGGGTGTTTGAAGCGGACTTGGAAGGTATGCGCAGTAGTTCTCGGGGTTGGAAAAGTGCGAACAACGACTTCAGTGATAATGCCGAATGTGCCGCCACCTCCGCCCCGTATGGCGAAGAACAATTCTTGGTTCTGACATGGGTTGGCGAGGACGACTTCACCATTTGGTGTGACAATGGTGGCTTCAAGTAAGTTGTCGGCCCCCATCCCGTAGCTTGTCGAAAGCGGTCCATGACCACCGCCTGTTAGCCACCCAATGAGCCCGACGCTGGGGTTGGCACCTGTTACAATCGCCATTCCATGCTGAGCTACTTCTTCTTGTACTTCAATGTTCGTGTGGCCGGCTGAAACACGCACAGCGGTCAATGGACTCTCGGAAGGGCAAGACGCTGGACTGAATGATGCGACGTAATCGATGCCGCGCATATGGTGCGTCCATATACTTAGGCTGCCATGTCCAGTGCTGCGACCTTGGTATGAGTGTCCAGTCGCCTTTACGACAACGCGAATGTTCCTTGCACTTGCCCAAACCAGAGCTATGCTGACTTGAGAAGAAGTGGTGGCATTCACTACGTAGGCAGGGTAGTTGCCGATATCACATCCCTGCACTTCAGCATGTGGGTTACCGGTGATGCTAGTTCCGTTGGGAAAGATTGGATTGCAAGAGTCGTTCGCCCATATAGGGTAGTCGATACTGACGGGATGCGCAGCGTGATATGACGAGTTAAACCACTGCGACGTCACGTAGTCACAAGCTTCTCGATCGAACTCTGGCCTTGGCGGGTAACAGACTGCTCCCGGTGGAACGCTGCGGATAAGTGCGCCGTCAAGTGTCGTGTTGAGGTCGCTCCATTCGTTGATAGTAGGCCAACAAGCATCACCAGGTGTCTGGTATATGCATCAGCCGTACTCAGTGGATGCGTAATCTCAACTCACACATTTGCACGACTGTTGGAGCGCCTCGCCATGCAACAAGATGCAGAGAAAGCAGACGAGGAACGCATACAACCGCATATCTTCAATCTTCCAAGTACGCAGCCCAGTGTGTGTCGATCTTCTGGTCGTTCGGTAGCCTCAACAGCTGGAAGTCAGAGTTCAGTTGCGGCAAACCTCGCTGGCGCAAGGATTAGCGGGTGAACCAGCTTCTGATGGAGATCATCTCTTACGATAATGGCCAAAGGTGATTGAAACGTATGCGTGGCTCTATCGGGCTGGCCAAATCGCAAATAACGCAAGAAGAAAATGTTTAACAGCTGGCGCTGCAGATGCGTCGATGGCGAGAAAACGAACGAAAGTGATGAGTGTCGAAGAAAATAGAGCAAGATGCGGAAGTCAGACAATGTTTGATGTTCAGTAATTCATATCAATTCCGTAAACCTGGAAGAGCTGAAAAGCCAAGGCTCGGTGAGGGGCAAAACACGTGACGAGCCCCGATTATATCGATCCTTCGTCTTATCCTAAGGAAGCGGTCGTTGCGAGTAGATATCTGGTATGCTAGATGGACTGATGATCGTAGAGGATTCCATCTGGAATGTTATGATGTGGAAATTCTTCCGTCTGCTCCCACCACCGTGCGTAGCTGGCCTGCCAGGCTGCACCAGAGATGCTACCATTGTAGCCATTCTGATCATGGCACAATATATCGCATTGGAAGATGTAGCTCGTGCAAGATCGCATGGCTCGTTTTAGCTCCATATTGTCGTACTTCCATCATGCCAGCATGTGGTCGTAACGACGCCGCGATGAACTTCTAAAGAGTCGTGTCAGCATCGAGCACTTGACGTCGCATACAACATACATACCTTCAAAACCACTTCAAGCAGGCCTTCGATGCTTCTTGCTCAGTCTCCTTCGCGCGCGACTCGGCTTGCGCACTGGTATTTGTTCATGGCTCGGTGCTAGAATAGGTCGTTCGGCGGCATGCATATCGCTACCGGCTACACTTGCCCCATCCCTCAACGCACGACGCTCCTCATCCTGAACCTGAATATCGAAAAACGATGTTCTCCAGTTCGTCTGTTCCTCTGGCATACCCCCCGAGCTCCTCACCAGCACGCGCCGCGATCGCTGCATGTCGCTGACGTCCGGCTCTTTCCGGAACAAAGCATCGCTGAAGATGCGCTTAAAGAACTTGGGCATGTTTATTCGCTGTTACTTTGCAAAACAAAAAGATATAGCCGCAGGAAGGATGTTATGCAGGGACTCGCGGGATGCGACAGGCCTTATCAAGCCCGTGTTGATGTTTGGGTGGCGAAGATGAGGGCGGCAATTGCGGGGGCCGATACCCCTGTTGCGAGAGGATGGGCAGCGCGATTGGCCAGCATAAGAGGGCCGTAATGCTGATCTTGAACGGGCGTGACCAACTCTCTCCTGGACGCGTCAACGAACGGAATTTCACTTCCCGTGCCTTCGCCCGCTTCGCTGAAAATGATTGTCTTTCTATAACGCGCTCAGCGTCTCGCGCGTATTCGCTCATGTTCAGCTAACGATACACGCGCCTGGAACAGCTGTTGCCCACAACAAGTATCATCGCGCGCATCAAGTTTTGGAGCCAGCTGCAACGATGTCACAATGATCGGCAGAACAAGGTGTTTACTAGTACCTACAGTTCTAACAAAGCGTCTGGATGCGGACGAACCCCAGTTCATGTGACGATAAGGAAGCCCGAGCACCAGCCGTCTCATTTTACGACTGGCTTGATGCTCAAAACATACTCTCCGGGTCGTGATTCCGTTTATTGACGCTGTTTCATCCCCGACGCCTTTCTTTCTGTTCTTCTATCCTCTTCATACACTCCTCTTCCGAGCAGTCGAACCAATCACCAATGTCGCTAATGTACCACCTAATAGGGCCTCCAGCTGTCCACTGGTCGCACTCACAACCTGGTCGAGCGCATGGTCCAAATGTGCGATTTCCATAAGCTTGGGTACTTGAAACCAGGAAGCCTTGGGCCTTCAGACGATAGACCACCGGGTAGATTGCCTTGAGGTACTCGGACCAGTTGTCGGATACATCCCAATGAAAGGCAATGTGCAGTTTGAACCCCTCCTTCCGCGCAACACTTTGTTCTTCCAGCAAGGTATAGAGGGACCGACATATTTTTCGAATGTGTACTGCTCGACTAGATGGCCTACTATGTCCGGTTAATAAAGACAACCACGCGGGACCAATGACAACTGCCAGCCTTCGAAGGAAATCGCATGTGCGGACCGAGGGTGACCAGCTGTCATATAGGACCCCATCGTCGTCTTGCAATAGTGGCTGCAGGAGCTTTATATCGACCGAGAGATGAGCGCTCTTATACCAGACTTCTACAGCTTCGCGCGCGAACTCAGGGCCGACCTCACGTTCCAACATCCAATATGGCGGCTCATATGCTTTGACCATAGGTGCAAACTCATACAAGGGGTCGTGTGGATGTTTGGAGTTGTTGTCGACAATCTCGTACGGCTCGTACGGCTCGTCCTGCTCGTCCTGACTTCCGCGGCATAGCTCCGTGTAGATCATATCTCGGAGCTCACGTGGTAGTTTCTCCAAGACCGCATTTGGTAGCTCTTGTATAACTTCTCGACACTGCTGATCCCGCTTCGACAACAAGAGTCTATAATTGTCAGTATGGATGATTATGCCTACCCAATCTTGTGTAGCTTACATGCGTATGGCAAGACGTTTCGCGCCCAGCAACCGTAAGTCATCATCCGCTAAGCGGGCTTGTTCGTGTTCCCTGTCTTCGGTCGTGTGTATGCTGGTAGTCAACGTCAGTCAGTTGTCCATTTATTAGATGTCGGGTCGCTTACTCTTCATCGACGTTGCTAAGAGCCGCTTGCAGGCCCTCAACGGTATCGGGTATCTGGAAATCGGACAGAGGCATGACTGGATCAGCGTCGTGGCGTTGGCTGTGACTTCAGCGGACGGATAGCAGAGGTGGCAAGGTCGCAATAAGTACCTGCGTGTTTGTGAGAGGGAGTTGGGAACCAATCATGGGCCTGCACTAACCCAGAAAGGCAAAGCGTGTCCGGATCCGGTGCACTCATTCTCACTGACAGCATTGCACCCGACAGCACATGGCCTTCACGCACTTTAGATGAGCTTATATGGGCAAGACAGGCTTTCAAAAGCCACGGGGTGTCAAACATGCCAAAAAATCCTATAAAGTAGGAGAGACAATAAATTTCATTCGAAATGTAAATTACTGGCCCTCCACCGCGCGCATTCCCTTTGCCAAATATCAATCTTTTGTCGTTTGTTTCGCATATCGACAACACTAAAGCTCTCATGTCCTTGTACCTGGCCCCAGAACTTACGCTTTTCCACCACCCCAGGGGAAGCTGCGCCATCTATTGTAGACGCTAACTCGGTAGACGAGCCGGAATATTGACTTGCAACGGGCTTGATCAATTGGACTATTCCCTCCGGGATATCATCCTCCTCGGAACGAGGCTCGGGATCATCTTGCGCCGGTGTTGATACGATGGTGTCGACATTGATATTGGCGGATGGTGCTGACGGTTGAGCGTCTTCTATTCTCCGAACCCCAACGTCCTGAGCGCTTACAACAATCTCAGTACTGTCTTCATCGTCACTGGAGCTCGCATCGTAGAACGTATCTATCGTATGGATAGACGGCGGAGTGAGCATACCCGCCTCGACATGACGCCACCTGTAAATAGGTCGTTTGTCGCCATTAGTATTCCTCACGTCCAGCTCGTCAAGATCCAGGTATGGGTTAACATCCGCTTCGATAAGTTCGTCCGGGATTAAGAAGATGTTCGCATCGAGAGCGCGTCTCTCTGCGTCCAGATACGCATCCTCTGCATCACGCAATTCGCCTATCAGCTTTTGTCCGTGTTTGAGGAAGTAGCCGGGAAAAATTGGAGCTAGTTCGCTATAGGGTTTCGTTGGGTTTTGTGCGCAGAATTTGGCAAGTTCGAGGTTGTAAGAAGCTCGATGGCCGTCGTGTGCTTTGTCGGCTTCGCGGAAGGCTTTTCTTGCTGCGTGGAGTTTGCTTCTGATATTAGCCTCCTTCAGTAATTGGGCCTCGCTGGGTTCGTTGCTTTTGTCATAAGGTACAAGCTCTTTGCCAGTCGGTGTTTCTATTCTTGCGACAGTCTCAATGGCGGGCGTTGTAGCTGGCACACCTTCGGCTTCCGCTCCTTTTGTCTTTTTAGCTGGATTTTCGTGCGACTTTTCAACCTCTATGGATGCACCAGCGCCCTCGGGTTTTTGTGCTTCTGAAGATTTACTACCTGGTAAATCTTCACTCTGGTCTTTGGCGTAGTCCGGCAAGATCCCTGCCTTGATGAAAGCGTCGTCATGACCCAAAGAAACAGCCTCCATCCAATTGTACCACTCTTCTTTCAATTCTTCCTCTTTCCTTTTGATGGCTTCTTTCTCCCGCCGAAGCCGTGAGATGTCCTCTTCTGTTTTCGATAATCTCTCCCTCATTCTTATGATTCTCGTATCTGACCCATCTTGGTGCTCCTGTTCAGAGGTATGCTTTGCCATCTTAGCGTTTGCTAGTGCCGCACCGGAGGAGTAGACGATTCGTTGATGTTCTGAGATCTTTTTATCGATACGTTCAAAATCGACTTTTGAGCGGGCCTCGAGCTTTCCGTGAGCGCGCTGAAGCTTTACGCAATTTAACATCCTTTGACCGAGTTTGGAAGACAGCAATAGCGCCGTGACTGGCTTTCCGTCTACAGGAACCGCAATGAACGCAGCCGAGCCAGTGTAGCTTGTCTTGAAGTCTTCATCTTTGTGTACCGTCTGCCAAGGTTTGAAATGGTCTTCAGCCTGTTCACCCGTCGCCTTTGACCCTGCATCGTGATCTTTTGGACTTGCTGATGATGGCTGCGAATGCGAGGAATTCTCCTCCTTCTCGGTATCATTCGACTGGTCTCCCGGCACTTGGCCGCCGTCATGCTGCGACATTGGTACACTGGCAGTGCTAATAGTTAGGGTCTCTATGGGCGCCGCTGGATGACATGCACGAGTTGATTCAGATATGAGCCAGCTTGGGGTGGAGCTGATGCATTGAAACTTCGTTCGACTGAAGACAAAGACGGTACCACGAGGGTTCCGGCAGCTTTGTCAAAACCATCAAAGAGCATACTAACGTCTTTGTCCTCGTGCATCGTTTCCTATCCGCTGCGACAGCCGGGGATAATTCCCTTGAGACTAGACCATCTCGCTCTACGGTGGAGCTCATCTGTCTCCCAAGTCATTCTCCAAAGACACGAAACCGAATATGATCTTTTTCATCTTTAGGAAGGAGTGTTCTCTTTGTTTCGTTGCGTACTAGACTCGCTTTGTGACTTCGTCAGTCAAGAAACGCAAGACCTCGCCTTTTAGCAGTCGTTTTGCAAACCAGCCTTGGTTCGCTACTGTTATGGTTCGAATCAGGACGACTACCGGTCAAGTTCATCACCGACTTATGCGTAGTACTTTCTTCGTGGTTTCATATGGAGTCAGCAGATACCCGAGTAAAGATGCGAATTGATGACACTAGAGAGGTCAGCAGCGCTTGCGCAAGTGCAGGGTAAAGAGACTCTCAGGAGTCAGGTATTCACCGATCTGAGCATCTCCACGTGATGTGCGGGCGCTATGACCGATGTCGTGCTCAAGGCATTCATTTCAGGCCCTAGTCGCGCTGAATTCCAGGACTAATGGTGGAGGGAGTACCTTATTCTCCACGCCAATCGCCCTTACACTCAACTACCCACCGAGTGTTCTGTCTACCACCCGTTCAAAAGGTCCACCGCCCGGAAGACCTACCGCTCGCACACCGCGCGAATTGCGGAACTTGAACATCCACTGCACGCTGAAGACCCCCGTCCCCGTCTCCTGACCTCACCCGGACGGACCACTAGCCTCCTGCGAGCTCGCTACCCTTGGATTCGTCAGTCTCCAAATCCCCTTTGCCGCCCCCACCAAAGTCGTTCGTCCCATACACAGTGTGACCAACATTCAATACTCAACCCTCATAACCACGGCGCGTTGACTCGACATGGCGGGCCAAAGCAGGAAGAGGAAGGCTGATGACGAGGACGAGCCGCGCGAGTGTGAACGCAAAGTACTCAAGGTTGTAGATGAACAAGACCCACTCCGTAAGTAACTCGATTACTTAATGTCGTAGTACGACTATGCGAGCCAAGGGGTCTTGACTAATATCATATCAGAGTCAACAAAGGGCAATCGTGTCTTTGTGTTCAAGAAAGTCGACACATCTAGCGTCGCTACTCCGGAGAGCAGCGCATCTTCGATCGCACCGGATACTGTATCGGCGGCTGGAAAGATGGCTGCACCACCAACTGTCTCACCGTCCTTGCTCGACCGCATGACAGGCCATCGCATTGCCAACCTATCTGATTCGTCCGAAGAAGATAAAGGCAGGCCCGACATGACAGAGTTGATGGAACTGATGTCACGTCTGGAAGAATGCGTATGGGTAAGGGAGAAGATATCAGAGGAGAAACTCAAGAAGATCACCACCGGCACGATCATTTGGGAGGTTACTGCTGACAAAACGATGAACCCTAATGCCAGTGTCGCCAGGTCAGACTATTTCCCAACTTTCGACGGTCTTTATTGTGTGAAGGGCGCGCCCTGGATGGTTCTCTTCAAGAACGAAGAGGAACCAAGTCTCAATTGCTTGAGGATGACCCGACACGGCTTCGACGGCGATTCGAAATTGACACCAGGACAGCTTGCCCAGACAATGCGCGTGCTGTATCCGGATGGAAAGGACAACCCTAACGTCCATGGGCTTCCTGTCGTGCATGTTCAAGAGTGCCAGGACTCGCAGGCAGGCGACAGGGTGTCGCTCATCAACATGGAAGAGATAAGGACTTTCCGCGCTACGCAAGATACAACCATCTGGGGCCAGCTGTATCCGGGCTCGGCATTCTTTTTCTTGAGAGAGTACATGCGCCGTTTTCAGGCGAAGACTGAGGCTGCACTAGAAGAGCTTCAAGCTGAAATCGATGCATCACCTGCTGAGGCACTCCCAGCTGTGGAGCGACGATCCGGACAGTTTGAGCTAGAGCATGGGCCCCCATCGGTATGTTTGCTGAAATCCAGTTTCGTTGTCAAGCTTACTAACCATCTTAGACCCAATCTCAACACGCCTGCTGCAGTGAGCCCGGTCCTTGCAACTGCACTAGCGACAAGACAGCCTGGGTACCATCGGACAAGAGCATGGTAGGTGTGCGACGAGAATCGATTTAAGACGAGCGAGGCAGGATGACCTCGCGATAAGGGGTATATGGGGTGTTGAATAATCACGGTAAACATTTCTCCCGCTTTGTCCGGGATTGCGATATGGGTAGAGTGGAGTACAGACACGCAAAGCTCTTCGCGAGCTCATGAATAGCTGCAAGTCCTTGTCAGCAGGTTCTTTTCGCATGCTTTTGCATTGAAATATGGGAGTAGCGTAAAACACGGTAATGAGAGCTCTTAACGGGCTTACGAAGGAAAACCCAATGTGGTCAATGTATCCATGTGTTGCATCACACTTTGTATATGAAGCATGACAAGTAACCTCCACAGGCTTCCGAATTTTCAGAACTTAACACAAAGAGGAACGAGCGCCTGTGCTGAATGTGATGAGAAAGCGATGAAGGTTGATGGTTTGAGGATGGCGGACCGGGCAAGAAGCCGCAGCGCAGATGCGCTAACGCGAACGAAAGCCACGATGACGTTGATGAAGCTAACCCGCGCATCTGTCGCGTCGTCGCTGCCAGATGCGCGACGCGTCTTTGTCCTCCCAACATGCATTCTTCATTCGATCACATTGGCCGATAAATTCATCTGCTTATCGCCGCAGGATCGTTAGCACAGCCCGCCGAGACACGCCCTCGCTCATCACTAACGAAGGATGGACTGCGCCTTAGACTCAGACTGTGGCCTGGTCTTAATCCGGGCCGATCATCGTAATAGTTCTGATGTTTTTCGCTGGATCTGGTTCTCACGCTCATTACTAAAAACACATTTCCAGAAAAGTAAAACAAGATCATACGAGCTTCTGATTCTCTAGCTATCGCGACTGATCTAACAAAAGTCCAAAAGGTTTCTCAGATCGCCCCCAATACGAGTTTCAAGTCCCTCTCCAGCACTTCCAAAGTATCCGCATCGCAAGACGCCAGAGCACCTTCCGTCTCTTGACGCTCATCCTGATGCTCATTACCCTCCTCCTAAGAGCGATTCCGCATCTGACAAAACACGCAGTCCCGACAATGTCGTTGCCGAATCCGCGCTGTAGTATCGAGAGGCTCTACTTCTTGACCTGGCGATTGGTATCCGCCGGTCTCAGTCGCCCATTGTGCAGTCGCTTGCCAGATCGCAATATCGCTAATCATCCGATCGCGCTCTTCGGTCTCATCGGTGGTGTCGCTGCCACTGTTGGTGCTCATATCGGTAACGGCCGGCGGGATGGTCAGGGCTTCGGGAGTGCTGTGTCCTAGTGAGACGGCCGCTGGGGGTGGTGAGCTACCTGGCTGTGGTTGGCCGGGCGGGAGCTTCTGTGGGACAGCTATTGGCATGCGAGGTGTGAAGTTGGGTGTGGATGGTACGGTCGCTGGGCTGTCTGTTCCTTCTAGCTTGCCCGTGTGCTTGATCGGAGCAGTTCGATTGCCAGCGATATCGGCCCACGTGGTACCCTGTGGCGCCGCCGCGGGATCTCTCGCAACGTATGGCTCCAGCGGTGGTGTAAAGACCGGTGCGTCTTCTTGCGCTGGCTCGTCGAAGTATCCTGGTTCGTCCTGCTCCGCCATTCCCAGCGGCCGACTCGCTTGCCCTTGATCCCTCAGATATCTCACCGACTGTCGCTGATTGTACATTTCCACTTTGAGAATGACGTTTGCTATGCGCGTCTGGTCTGTCTCCTCTTGAGCTCGCGCTGCTTCGGCTTTGGTGCGGAAACCGACGACGATTGTGGTGACATTGCTATTTGGATAGACGTTCTTGAGGCTTGTCGGATTGTAGCTTTCGTACATTTTTTTCAACTCGTCTGTCTCGATGTAGCCGGGGACGTTCTTGACGAAGATGAGGTGCTCGTTCGCCGCTTTGGCGCCATTGTTCAGAGGCATCGCGACGGTTGCGCAGTGTGGGCGGGATTGTGGGGCTCCAAATTGTATCTGCGGAAGTCTTTGGTGTTGTAAAATCTAAGTCTGTCTACAAATGTAAGCGATGACGAAAAGCCGAAGTGAATGTGCTGCTAAGAATCGAGATGGTGCGTGTGTGTAGGGTTGAGGTGCAGTAGTACCCTGAAAGTTCTTCTGACGTTCGCGTGTCAGATTAGCGAGTAGATAAGGGTCATCGACTGCTGCAGTTTTGCTTCCACAAGTGGTTCTATCGCTGTCGCGGCAGGTGTAGTGGTGTAGGTGAGCAAGTGATTATAGATGAATGACGCAGAGCATATCGGGCCCATAAAGCCCCGCGAGGATGTGTTCGTCCTCATGGTACGCAGGCAAACGGAAAGACCGACGAAAGAGCAAGTGACTGGGAATTGTAAGGACGGTAACGAGACATGTGAGCCCAGAAAGTGATTAGTCGCGTCGTAATAGGCTCAACAATGCTCGACAAGGGTCCAGAGCACCAGAATGAGGAAGGCATGATCTAGGTCTTGTGCTGAATGCTATCACACATCCCATGGAGAAATTAGAAAGCTCAATACGATGTAACATACAGTGCAGACGTGAAGTGCGCAAATGCAGCGCAGTGAAGCGCGTTGGTTTCGAGACCAATACTACGTCATGCCGCCTAGTCTAGCCTACCCGCGTGCTCATCCCTGCACTTTCGGGTCATCGCGCTCGCTCCCCGATAACCATACCTAGGTATCCTGTTTGCGCTCGTCTTGTAATGATCCGATTGCATCGACTGTGAATGGGATTTCGGGTGTTTGGGCATGGCATGATGCTGATACTGAAAGCCATATCGACGTGCATCCATTGCGCTGACACAGATTTCCAGTAAATCTACATCTTTTAGCTTTTGTCGTACTCGAATCCCTACAAATGATCATGCATACCCAGCCCTGTTAGACCGGATCTGTGAAGACCATAGATTCGAAACATGGGTAGGTATGATAAAGTATCTAAATCTAGCATGACCAGCTTACTCGTGTCTAAAAAAGACACAGTGGTAAAGTGTGTATGAAAGATACGACTCTGACTTGCCTATTAGAGATTTACAAAGAACAAGAAAGGTAAAATGCTAGGTTAGGAGCTGTAGTTGGCGCTGTACATGAGAACGAAATACAATGGCAAAGATTAAGCCCAACACGACACGAAGGCTCTTCGAATAAGCATGCGCAAGCCATCGACTTCACAACTCAAGGTATGATATGACTGAGGGTATTGTTCTATTATTCATTTACATTTTTACATCAACGACTAGACGATCCCTGGATCACCTAGACCTTGATCACAACCTTATGCGGCGCATCCTTCTCCTCAGGCTCACCAAAGATGTTAACCGGCCACCTCGGCTTGTTAGCCGTGTAAGGAATGTTGAAGCGACGCGGCTCCTTCTTGCCAATCTCCTCGACCTTTGCGAAGTCGTCTTCCGACAGATCAACCTCCTTGAAGTTCTCTTGGATGCGCGATGCGGTGACGGACTTGGGGATGACGGAGTGGCCGCCGACCTGGGCCCAGGCGAGGATGACTTGTGCGGGGGAGGCGTTGATGCGGGTGGCGATCTCCTTGATGGTGGGGTGCTGGACGAGGAGGGGCTCGCCGACCATGTTGTTGCCGAAGGCCTGGGGGGGTGGTGTTAGTAAGTGTTGGATTAGGGGGATGGAGGGGAGATGGCTTACGGAGTACTCGGTGATGTGGATGTTCTTCTCCTTGCAGTACTGGATGAGCTCTGGCTGGAGGAGACGGGGGTGGCGCTCGATCTGGTTGGCAGCAGGAGTGACGCCGGTGCCGTCGATGATGGCCTGGAGGTGCTCCTTGGTGTGGTTGGAGACACCGACAGCGCGCGCCTTCTCCTTGGGCAGCTGTGTCATGGCCTTCCATGTGTCGACGATAGAGACGTCGTCGAGCATCTTGACGTCCTCGCCCTCGAGAGGAAAGAGGTTGTTGTGGACATCGCCGCGCTCGTCGAAAGCGACGGGGAAGTGAACGAGGTAAAGGTCTAGGTAGTCGAGGCCAAGCTCAGCCAGGCAGTCGTCGAGAGCGCCGGGCACGTCCTTGGGGCGGTGCTGCGAGTTCCACAGCTTGGATGTGATGAAGACGTCCTCACGCTTGAGGTTAGGGACCTCGCCGCCGAAAGCCTTCTTGAGGGCCTGGGCGATCTCCTTCTGGTTGCCGTAGACCTTGGCGAGATCAAGGTGGCGGTAGCCAGCCTTGAGGGCCTCGAGGACGGCAGCGCCGACCTGACCAGGCTCAGCTTGCCATGTGCCGAAACCAAGTTGGCTGGAAAGGTTAGCAATTGCTACGTAAGTCTGCGGGGTGTTTGTTTGGGTACTCACGGAATGGCAGCGCCAGTGTTGAGAGTAACCTTCCTTCCGAGAGACATGATTGCTATTGGTGAACTTGGGGTATCAAGAAGAAAAAGTAAAAAGTTTGTGAGTGCTGGAATGCGGATGTTCTGGACCTTTAAGCGTTGTCTGGGGAAAAAGTTGTCGGAGGTGGGATGGAGGGGTCGGAGACGTCACCGAGCCCCAGACGGCACCATCTCCATGTTTGGCAGCCGCCTCCGCGCATCAACAATGTCCGACGGTCCACCTTACAGACTTCTGCGTCATGCATTGGTTCGCCTTCGCCAAAGTCGCGGTAGTCGTGTCTCAACAAGCATCATCCATCGGCGCTACGGTGTTGCAGAGGCTTAGGAGTATCTGCCGTCGATCTACCGCGGACACGTCGCGTCGCCATTGGTGGATGAAATGTGGCAAACGCGAAGTTTTTGTAGGCGGCCTTCAGGGACCGGGTCGAAATCGCCTATTGTCTTGTGTAAGCGCGGGCATCATGCGGAAGAGCTATGGCGGCTGCATGGCAAGATGGGGTTGGCTTGGTGACATCGATGGCGGCATGCGGATGGGACTGACCTCGGCGCATCAGACGGTTATATAAGCGACCCACTCTACAGCCACGTCGCCTTTCCATGGCGTTCCAGACATGTGAATTCGTGCGTCTTTGACATTTGCATCGTTACCTGTACTGTAAAGAGCAGGAGTACGTTGATGGAATGCCTAAATGTGGGCGTAGCATCAATCCAACACTATCTTACAAAAGAGAGAAACTAAACACCCTATAGCCTACATTAACATGAAAACGTGCAAAGTAGGGGACCTAACGTCAACGTCGGCTCTAGGGTTTTCAGTTTCTCCCTTGTATCAGGTGGTCACCACCCCATTCATCTCATAATCCTCTCCCAAAATGTCAGCCCCTCCCGTACATCCACTGCCTTAACCCTCATCTCCACCCCCTTCTCCTCCCTCCCAGGCATCGTCAAAAACCCCACCCTTTGATTCCCTTCCACGATTAAGCTACACACCGAGATCGTTACAGTCTCCAATTCCGGCGCTCCGAGCCCGGCGATCAAGCTCGTAAGACTACCCTTCGGGCCTAGCTGTAAGCACAGCTCCAACATATCCTGTGCGTCCGTGTAGTCGATATCGATATGCTTGACCATCTCCCTGAGGTGCTTAGGTAGGATAGCAAAAGCGGAGAGGACGGTGTATTTGTAAGTTATTTCGCCTTTGATGTTGATATGTAAGGTATCTGTGTCTGGCACGAAGAGGACGGGTTTGGTCGCGCCGGATTTGATTCCATCCTTTGAGTTGGAAACAGGGAGGTGGAGGTGATGCGGCGCGGCGAGAAATTTGCACTCGGCGGAGAAGAACTTGCTGGTTAGGTGCAAGGTGATGTCCCGATTGACAGAGGCGTGGACTCGGTAATGTACTGAGCAGGGAATGCTTGCTGCTAGTACGGAGGCTGTGGAATTGGGTCGGCGAAATTTGATGTCGGCGTGGAGATGTCGTGGTGATGCGTGTATGGCATTGTTCCAAGCGTATTTGATGATGCGGGCTTGGAGTTCTGCGGGAAGGGAATTGAAGGAATCGAAGACTGATGCGGGTTCGTCTACGGGAAGTGTTGGCTGTGAATTTGGCTTGCCTTGCATGATGTTGGATTTTGGCATGTTTGAAGCGGTCTTTATAATCTTGATGGTATGAAAGCGGTGATGATAGAAGAGTGAAAAATGGTTATTAGGTAGTATCCTGTGAGATTTCAAGAACGAAAATGAAAGGCGAGGGCAAGACTTGGTGTTTTTAATATACACAGCATTAATTGAGGAATTAAAGTACCTTGGTTAAGATGTGGCAGTCGCGCTGGGTTTAGACGAGACAATACGCCCCAACCAAGGTACAGCCCAAAGACGATACACGACACAGCCACCTCATACAGGACAAGTTTGAACAGGTCTGCAGCCTACACCAACGTAGAAACATACAAAATAGATTACCCAACATAAAGGTAGGCTCCAGAGTGTTCAAGTTTTTCCTTATTTGTGATGCATCAAGAACATGAACAGACCGAAAACGATTGCTCACGCATATTTCTTAATGTTTTGTGATTACAGTACATAGATACCATACTTCATCGAAAGCCTTGCCCCAGCGATCCAAAACATGGAAGCCAAGGACCACATAAAGCGCCGATCCACCCATCCTGGTCCCATCTAAACAGGGACTTGAAAAGGAAAACCCGCACAACCCACGCCCGCTACGAAGAAGGTATGGAAAATCGCTCCCAGAAAACATGATAAAAGCTAGAGCACATGGTTGCGGATGTCGCCAGAGACGAACTCGCCTGGAACAGACCGCGTCATGTTTGCTATGGCAGCCATTAGCACGGAACCGAAGAAGAAAGAAAGGGTATCAGAGTCGGTGAGGATGTGGAGGTGCGGTCAGGCAGTGTTTATGACTCGCCTCCTGTTGATGCTGCGGGAGCACCTTCACCACCTCTGAATGATCCCCTTCCTCCGCGGCCTCCGCGTGCGCCTCGCTCGCCACCTCGTCCACCACGAGAAGCACCGCCACGGCCTCCGCGACCGCCGCGACCACCCTCGCTGTCTGAGGCACCTCCACTTCGGTAGCCGCCGCCTGAGACGCCACCACGGGTGCTGGCTTGCCAGCTGCCGGCTCCGTACCTAGGCTGGTTGGGACCAGGGCCGCGCTCGTTGTACACCTTGACGGTCTTGTTATCTGGGCCGCCCCGAGCGTTCCTGACGTCGTCCGCAACGCGACGAAGCGCACCGTGCATGTCCTGCGAGGTGGCGAAGTGGGCGACGAAGAAGTGCTTGATCTTCTCCATCTTCTCGACCTTGGACCTGTCTTCCTCTGCGAGCAGACCCTTGGCTTCTTCCTCATCCTTTACACCGGCGATAAAGAGACCCTTGCTCTCCTTGCGCTCGACGGGTTCCCGGGGAGCGGGAGATGTAGCCTTCTCCGGTGCGCCGGTGCCATTGGGCTTGACCTCGCTTGGAATGGACTTTTCAGCAGCATTTACTGCTGTGTTGTTGGCCGGAGGCTGGGGTGTAGCGGCCTTCACGGACTCCTTGGGTGCAGCAGCAGGGGCGGGCGAGGGTCCGGTCCGTGCAGCCTGGCCGGCATTCTGCTTCTGCTGTTGAGGAACCGGTGGGGTCGCAACGGCAGGGCGGGGCTGCTGAGGAGCGTTCGCTGGTGGTCCGGCTGAACGACCTGGGGCAGGCGATGGCTGGGCGGAGGGGCTGGGGTTCACGGCAGCTGGGGGACCAGTGCTGGTGTTTGCAGCTGCGGGCTGAGTCTGGCCAGGTGCAACCTTTCCGCCTCGGTGAGCGAAGTTGAAACCTTGGGCCCTCATCTCAGTACCGATTCTGCCATTGTCAATGTCCAGTACGAGCCAACCGTAAGCCGCATCCGCAAGGTTGAAGTTCCACATGTTCTTGAAAGCGCTCTCGTCGATTTGGCCGCTCTGAGGACCAGGAGCAGGGCCACCGAATGGGTTGCCGCCGTTGGCTACGGTTGGCATCTTATTTACTATGTCAAGTGCCAGTGCCAGCAGGCGTTGTTGAGATTCGCTGTCAGCGACCGCGGGCTCGACTTCAGTCTTGACTGTGTCCCAAACATCGTTGAAGGAGGCCTTGGATGCAGCGAGCTTTCCGCGGTAATGGTCGAGGGTGGGGTTGACACTGAACTCGTTGTAGGAGCTACCGTAGCGGAAATGCAGACCCGCGGAGACGGAGAAGTCGGCCTTGAGCGTGACGGACAGCTGGTTGAGCAGGCCTTCGCGAGCGGGAGATGCGTGGGTGACGAATATGCGGGTTTCGGTCGGGTCGTATACGCGGTTGGCTGTGTCGACCAGTTCGCCCATCTGTAGCAGGGTAGTCCACATGGTGCCCTGTCCACCTGCAATGGTCGTCCTGCCCTCGCCGTTGTCGAAGAGCTTGTGCATGACGACAGCGCCACCGAGACCGAGCAGGCGCAGCTTGACGCCGCCTACATCGAGCAGCCGCGAATGCGCCTCATCGATGATGTGCAGGTTGTCCACCTTGTACTCGCCCGATCGCAGCTTCTCCAGGACCTGAACATCCTCGCAAGCACCCCACACGGTGTATACTGGCACGTTCAGGGTGTATGTCTTGTTGAGGAAGAGGGGCAGTTCTGAGAGTGGCAGGTGCTCCCGTGCGAAACGCTCCTTGATAGGCGGTTGCGGAGGGGCTGTGGCAATGGAGCGCTTAACTGCATCTGACAACAGCGGTGAGTATTGTGCCACGTGCTTGAGAGTCTTCTCGGCGATGCGATCGAGCGAGCGGTCGTCGTAGAAGCCAAAGTCGCCGGTGTGGATGATGTAGTTTGCGCGGGCGTCGGCGGCGAGCTGGTTTAGCGATTGCAGGTTTCCTGACCGATGTTAGCGATGAATTTGATGCTCGGGTATTGTTATCGCCCTCACCTCGGACATCTGCAATGCACAGCACTCGTACGCTTCCCTGCTGAATCACGCGGCCCTGGTTGGGGAGCAGCGGGACAGCTCCAGGCGCTGGGCCTGAGGGACCACCGGGAGCGCCGCCATTAGGGAGGTAGTTGCCTGGGTAGGGGCGCGGCTGGTTGGGAGCTTGCTGGATGAGGTCAGTATCGATGTCACATGTTGTCAGACTGGAGCGGCAATTGCCAGACATACTGAAGCCATGGAGTCGGAGGCGGAGGGGTCGAGCAACGTGTCCTGGTGAGGTATGCAGATGGCTGGGGTGGGCGGCGGAGATGGGGTGGGGTATTACAATTTCGGAGTAAGAGAGAATGTAGTGGAAGAGCCTCCTCTTTAGTGATGGCAGCGGCGAGTTGTCTGGTCTGCCGTTGCTCCTTCTGTTTTTGCTAACAGCTTTCCGCCGCACAGACCCTGGCCTAGCGCGTCCTATCAAGTCGCGTTGGAGCTGTCTGGAACCTCTACATCTCCAGCTCCCCCAGCTTCCTCCATCCATTGAGCTTTGTTTCCTCATGGTATCGCTGTTTCTTCATCTCGTTTCTGTCATGGAAGCTTCTGACAAGATGGCTTTCCTCTGCATTACCTCCCGGCATGCACATGGCCTCACTGCCAGCCATCGCGGTCTCGTTTTCTAGCTACCTGAAGAGCTGTCACCGACTTCAGGTGATGGCATTTGACACACTACTTCCTCCATATGGCTTTTCTTCGATCTCTCTACGAGCAGCTTCAATGCTCGAGCTCAAGAACCTCTGCCAGCTCGCACAGTCGATCCCCAGCGCAGTCTACCAACGCACCAGGTCAGACTCTACGACCACTAGCCAACAGGGACACCGAAAGGAGAGTCCCCACCGAAGGCTTTCCGCGCTGCTACGTGCTCGTGCAGCGTTTGCTTCTCGAGTTTGCCGCGCTCGTTTGCCATTGGTCGGTGAACCGGCTTACCTAACTTTTGGACCCTAATTTTTGGACCCACTAAAAAAGTTGAAATCCCACCTTCTTCTATCGAGCGGCGCTCTTTTTCACAACTGTAAATATCAAAGGTCTTCGCTGCCCCGCGATAGATCACCACAGCCTTGCTTTCTACACAACCACACCGTGAGAGCATCGCCATGGACGAGCAACAGTTTGTCCAGCTGCTCGAGGGCCTCATGGAGCGTATGTTACCCAACCCCGCTCTACCACAGAACCTGGACTGACTTTCTCCAGCCGACACCGAGCGTGTCAAATCCGCTACCTCTACCCTCAACAAGAACTACTACAACTCCCCCGCCTCTCTCAATGCCCTCCTTCAGATCCTCTGCGGCCACCCCAAGCCTCAACTCCGCCAACTGGCGGCCGTCGAGGCTAGGAAGCTGGTGACGAAGCACTGGGCCAACCTGCCTGCGGACCAGAAGAACTCTCTTCGCAACCAGCTGTTCCAGTTCACACTAAACGAGGACGTGACTCTCACACGGCACTCTGCTGCCCGCGTCATCTCGGCTATCGCGTCGCAAGACTTCGAAGATGGCGAGTGGGCTGACCTACCCGGCTACCTCCAGCAGGCTGCCACCAGCAACGAGGCGCGCCACCGTGAAGTCGGTACCTACATCATCTTCACCACGCTTGAGTCAGCGGGCGACTCGTTCCCCGGCAAGCAAGCCGATCTGTACAAGCTGTTCAGCTCCACCATCCAAGACCCCCAGAGCGTTGAAGTCAGGATCAACACCATGCTTGGTCTCAGCCGCTTAGCCATGTTGCTTGAGCCTGACGAGAGCCCCAAGGAGCTTGCTCTGTTCCAGGAGTCTATCCCTGGCATGGTCAACGTTCTGAAGACTACTGTCGATGAGGGTGACGAGGACCGCGCCATGCAAGCTTTCGAGGTCTTCCAGACTCTTCTTGGCTGCGAGTCCGCGCTTCTCGCAAAGCACTTTGGCGATCTCGTCCGCTTCATGCTCGAGCTTGCGTCAAGCACCAACGTCGAAGACGACTACCGTTCCCAGGCGCTCGCATTCCTCATGCAATGCGTTCGCTACAGGAAGCTCAAGGTGCAGGGTCTGAGGATTGGTGAGGAGATGACCTTGAAGGCTCTCCACATCGTCACCGAGCTCGGTGACCTCTCCAGCGAGGAGGAGGATGTCACTCCTGCCCGTTCCGCTCTTGGACTTCTCGACATCCTTGCCTCAAGCCTACCTCCCAGCCAAG